CCGCTCGCCGACCGGGCTGCTAGTGCCGCCGAGGCCATGGCGGCCGCTGAGGGGAGGCCGCCTCAGCGGCCGGGACCAGCCGGCGCGGCCCACTTGCTAGCAACTGCGTCGCTGATTGGCCGGCCGCCACGGGGAGGGGGCATGAAAGGGCCAATCGCCGCTGAGGACAGGGATGCACCCGGCACCGCACTTCAGATAGTAACGGCCTCTCTGACTGGTCTGCCGGCACCAAGGGGCGAGGGCATGAAAGGGCCAATCGTCGCTGAGGACGGGGAAGAACTAACATGGCACTTCTGAGAGTAACGGCCTCTCTGATTGGTTTTCTGGCCGCCAAAGGGCGGGGGCATGAAAATCGCCGCAGAAGACGGGGAAACAGCCGGCATGGCACTTCTGAGAGTAACAGCTTCTCTGATTGGCCCGTCGGCGCTAAGGAGAGGACAGGGCATTAAAGGGCCAGTCACCCCCGGCCACGGGCGAGGGTGTTGAGAGAGGTGGGTTCGCACTTGGCAGCTTCTGGGCCTGTGCTGCTGAGAGAGGCAATTAACTTCATGGCTCATTTCAGGGATCCTGTTTTATTCGGATTTAAAAAAATCCCCAATTTTCGGTAAAAAAAAAAAAAAAGCAACCTAACCCTAAATTCACATTTTTCTGTGATTAAAATGAAACACTGCTATTTATGCATCTATAGATTAGTGGTGTTTCATTTAAGTCATGGGAAAAAAAAGTGGATTTGGGGTTACTTTTTTTAAACCAAAAACGGGATTTTTAAAAATCAGTGAAAACTCGGATCCTTGAATTGAGCCTCTCCCCGATTCCTGCTAATCTCTCCCCACTCTGCACGTGTGCACGGCTCCTCATGTCCCACTAATCAGACTAGAAATGCAATTTTTGGCTCAGAGACGATACTTTTATTAAACCAACTACGAAATTGCAACAACAGAAACATCTTTTTGTGCAAGGTTTCGGGCTCACGTGCCCTTCCTCAGGCTCAGGAGAAAGTAAAGATGGTAAAAGGTCCCCATATGTAAAGAATAAACTTCTTGCCACCTTTAATTTTCCCCGAGCCTGAGGAAGGGTGTGAGAGCCTGAAAGCTTGCAGAAAAAGATGATTTTTTTTTTTTTACAATTTCTTAATTGGTCTAAAAAATGGTATCATCTCTGAGCCACGAGGTCTAGAGTTTTGCATTTCTTTTTGTCTCAGACCAAATACATCTCTGGAACAGTAATCAAA